GTGAGCAAGTGATGCAATGCTACATTTCTCCAAACCTGATGAAGAAACAAACTCATCTACATCTCGTCCGGCCTGAGGGCGAGCACATTTACAGCACATTTTCATTTTTGCCTGAACTATTATTCCTTTAAACTAATGAGATTTCCACTTACTCTGTAAAACATGCGGTCAGCGAAACGCAGCATCTCAGCAAAAGCATTGAGCCAGCAGTGCAGAAATGCGTAGAAACCCAACATTAACATGAGCATCCCTGAACATGACAGTAAACAGTCTCAAAACACACAGACGGCCAGAGAAATTCAAAGTCATTTCAGAGGGGAGTTATTGCTTATTGATGAAAGTTTATGAATAGTTTGTACTGATGAGTTCACAGGAAGTGCAGAAACTATTTCATGTTGGCTGTTCAATGCAAGACACAAGTAAGTGTGTATATTATGAGTGTAAGTGTGTGTGGTACCTGGAAACGCGGCGTGGAAGAGCGCCAGGATGAATGTCCGTGTATTGAAGGGCTGGTTGCTCTTGTTCGTGAACACAGGGATGCACAATCGCACCAAGATGAAGTACAGATAGAACAGACTGGCCAAGATCTGGGAGGAACACAAGAACCATGCATTTAAGGCGGGGGAATCTCAAAAAACATATTTAGTATTGTGACATAACTTTCATGACAAACACTCTTCCCTTAGAATTTTCAATCCGTTCTTCAACTCCTTTCTTAAGAAATCTATTCAATTCATATGGGAATAAAATCACGGATCATCAGTGCACTGCTCATTTGATGATCTTATACACAATCTGAGAGGATTACTGTATGATTAGACAACCAAACACCTGATAATTGTGTATGAAGCAGAGCTGTGTAGATTAGTTACTAATTACAGATTACGTGACAAAAATGTGTAGGCAGTAATGTAATCCATTACACATTTTAGGTATGTAATCGGACTACTTTTAGATTACTTTTGATATTCCATTTAAATAGGATAATCTTGTACCATATTGATATGAAAATACAAAGAGGAAGAAAATATATTGCATTTGTTGTGATCAACAACATGAAGTGCACGATTAATAGTGAATTAACCCCTTAACTGTCACCGTCGCACCTGTGGGACGCTTGGCGCTCTTTTTTTTGTTGTCCTTTTTCTCTATCAAATATTCTAGTAATCATCATGACATTATATATCATTTGAAAGCTTAGAAGCCCAAGATTCATGCTGAGAAAACCATTTTGAAATCGGACATTGCGTTACCATGGAAATGGTACTTTAAAATCTGTTGGCGGTGGGCGGTGTCAAGTGTCATATTACAAAATGCATTACGCAAATCAAACCTTTTTATAATCTCGACAAAAAACATATAATTGGAAAGGTCTGAGTCGCAGGATTCCATATTTGGTGAGATATAATAAATACTGACAGAGAAATCTAGACATTTGTGACAGAAAATGTTTGGATGGCACCCGGTGGCTGTTTGTGGTATGACGCCCTAAATAAAATCTCATAGGAACCTCCGTTTTTTTCATATTGACTTCAAATTTGGAACATAACTTATTTAGACATAAGGCTTTAATTTTATACCAATTTTGGGGTTTAAGTTTGGATAGTGCACTTTCATGCCTATTTTAAAAAATGGGGGGTGACAGTTAAGGGGTTAAATCATAAAACTAATTAATTAAAACATAAAGCTTTGTATATTCAATATTTGTTTAATACTGTTTTATTTGTTGTATTTTGTCAAATGTTGTGTGGCGTCTCAATTTTCTGTGTAATTATAACAATCTGACTAATGAAGGTCTTTGTCTGAACGTCCACAAAACTTTCTATAAGCGGTAGGATATTTTAGAAAAGAAGATTTAAAAGATGAAAAAAGGAGAATTAGAGAGAATTAATAAATGATGAATAATTTCTTGCTATTGTGTAAATAATATGTAATCATGTAATCAATAAAAAGTAACTGTAGTCTGATTACGAGTAATATATAATCGAATTACAAGTAATTAATTTTTAGAATCTGATTACGTAATCCATGTATAAGGTAATATGCATAGACATACTTTTAATTTTGTAATAGATACTAAGGTCTTCACACATACATCAAACACAAGAGAGTGTGGTGAAAGCTTTAATTGATGTTAAATATAATTTAAAATTGTGACGTATAATTGTACATGGTAGTGTAATTAAATTCTAAAAAAGTTTATTTTCATTACTGTATAAAACTAATAAGGGAATGTGTGTAATTATCATAATTTTACAATGCAAAGCATGTCTTTTTCTTTTCTTAATGCAAAATAAAATATTATATTACGAAATACAATTTCTTAGTTTTCTCGTTTTATTTTTGGGGTGAAATATGACCCAGATATGTGTTTGCGTGAGCGACTTGACCTTCAGAAAGTTCATGCCAACGTAGTTCCACCTGACGTACGGGTTTCTGAAAGAGAACAACAAACAGTGAGGATATTGATTTGTTAGTCTGTAATACAGTCGTGTGTCACAACAAGAGCTGTTTACCGCGGATAAACCTAGGATATTTTAGAAAAGAAGATTTAAAAGATGAAAAAAGGAGAATTAGAGAGAATTAATAAATGATGAATAATTTCTTGCTATTGTGTAAATAATATGTAATCATGTAATCAATAAAAAGTAACTGTAGTCTGATTACGAGTAATATATAATCGAATTACAAGTAATTAATTTTTAGAATCTGATTACGTAATCCATGTATAAGGTAATATGCATAGACATACTTTTAATTTTGTAATAGATACTAAGGTCTTCACACATACATCAAACACAAGAGAGTGTGGTGAAAGCTTTAATTGATGTTAAATATAATTTAAAATTGTGACGTATAATTGTACATGGTAGTGTAATTAAATTCTAAAAAAGTTTATTTTCATTACTGTATAAAACTAATAAGGGAATGTGTGTAATTATCATAATTTTACAATGCAAAGCATGTCTTTTTCTTTTCTTAATGCAAAATAAAATATTATATTACGAAATACAATTTCTTAGTTTTCTCGTTTTATTTTTGGGGTGAAATATGACCCAGATATGTGTTTGCGTGAGCGACTTGACCTTCAGAAAGTTCATGCCAACGTAGTTCCACCTGACGTACGGGTTTCTGAAAGAGAACAACAAACAGTGAGGATATTGATTTGTTAGTCTGTAATACAGTCGTGTGTCACAACAAGAGCTGTTTACCGCGGATAAACCTCCCGATAGATCAGAGTCGGACAGAACAGAAAGTACAGATAGCTGGAGAGAGATGGATATCGCAGAGGTTCGACTGTGAGAAAGAGATTAGGGTTACAGCATTAACCTTCCCTGAATATAGAAAGAATCAGCATGCATCTTCGATTAAAATGCATGCATTGTGTATGAAGATGCATGGAGTGCTGAACAGCGTTACCCTTCTGCGGTGTGTTTTTGAGAACGGCCGGTGTAGTTTCACGGATAAACGAGTAGCTCTTCATCACAAATCTGATCTGTGGAGGAAAAGCAGGATTTGGCAGGTTTGCACGTACACGAGGCTTTTCTCTCATCACAAACTATACGGATCTGACTGGGTTTGTCCTTTAGGCCGCTGACCTCTGACCTCTGACCCAGTTTGAGCACATCTGTGTTTTACTGTTTTCTGTGATCATGTGCTGCCAGTAATGTAGTGAGCTATTTAATCTGGCAAAGGACGGCAGACTTTGATCCATGAACCCCAAATAAACTTTGGCACAAAGATCTGGGCATTGCTTTAAATCTGGCACAATCTCATAAAAACCTACTTTGTTAACCATTAATTTATTTAACCTCTATCTTCACAGTGTATGATGTAATGGAACTTCTGAAACTCTATATGTTTACATAGAGTATTAATTTGATTGAAATATCATTAATTGTGATGATATGATTTATAATAATTAAATAATAATTTATTTAGTTTTATTATGCAGATGATATTTAATACATTATAAATAATTGTGTAGACAGGCGTCTATTTGGGACTCGGCTATTATTTGAAGTTTTACGGTATTTTATAAATAATAATTTATAATTACTTTAATTTACTTTACTAATTTACTAATTTAATTTATTTGCTATAATTGTATTTAATTATGCAGATAATATTTAATACATTATACATTATAAATTGATGATATGATTTATAATAATTAAATAATAATTTATTTAGTTTTATTATGCAGATGATATTTAATACATTATAAATAATTGTGTGTGTAAAAAATACTAATTACGATTTTTCATTTTTATATATCATTTATATGTATGTGTGTGTTTTTATATATATTTCTGTTTAAATATATCATGAATAATAAGTAATATACATAATAAATCATTTAAAAATAAATAAATATAATATATATAATTACGTAGGTGATATTCAAATATGCTATACCGTAAAACTTCAAATAATAGCCCGGGCTTCTATTGTGTGTGTGTGTGTGTGTGTGTGTGAGAGAGAGAGAGAGAGAGAGTGTGTGTGTGAGAGAGAGAGAGAGAGAGAGAGAGAGAGAGAGAGAGCGTGTGAGTGTGTGTGTGTGTGAAAATTATTTTTCATTTTTATGTATGTGTGTATTTATATATATATTTTTGTGTTTAAATATGATAAATAATAAATAAAATATATAATAAATTATTTCATAATAAGTAAATAAATATTATTTTATTTAATTTTGATTTATTTTAATTATCAAATTACATGTATATACATAGTTTACATGTAATTTTCTAATTAAATAAGTAAATCACCTGTATTTCTCTAATGCAAACACACAGGCCTGTGTTAGTGTACTCTGTACTGTGTTATTGTACCTGCTCTAATATGATGATGAATCGTGAAGCTGGCGGCAGCTGATAATGCAGGACGATGTAAACTGGAAATATTCCCAGCATGCTCGTCTGAGCAGCACACAGTGTTAGCGCTGCCACCGCAGACACACACGTCCTCCAGCCACGGCTGTGGTTCAGTGAAGCCCAGACGCTCAGAACGTAATACGGCCCGAGCAGAGAGTACGCGAGCATGAGCGTCCAGGCCCATACGACCGTCCCCAACTGACCGAACGCGTAATAAAACAGATCAAAGTCCAGAACCAGCCTGAAACACACAGACACTCACACTCAGTCAGCCAGTCCTAATTCTGATGCTTTATTCCCCCACACACTCTCTCTCACACACACACACACACTCTCTCTCTCTCACACACACACACACACACACACACACACA